GAGTGGGACTACATTTATTCTCTATAGTTCCGTAATGGCGGAAATATATCGTCAGTTTCATCTTGCATGAGTTGGCTGTAAAATGCATCTGAACAACGAGACATTCAACTGCTGACGCGTTATTTATGATTCTTCCAACGAGCCGCAGTTTATCTTTCATCACGGAAACGATCTCGTGAACCAGCAAAGATTCGACATGTATCTCGCTACCTCACGATAAAAGGTGCAACGCTCAAAGCCACAGACAGTCTAGAGTCAGGTTCGCTTATGCCTGAAAAGATGATTCCACTAGCATAAGTGAGCATAGGCAGGGTGACTGAATGGACAAATTATTGCACCATCTTGTTGATTCACCGGCGTTTATCAGGCGGCGGAAGTAACAGAACACTACTCAGATCTTCCTGAAAGCAGCCAACATGTTAGCCGACTATTGATCTGATGGCTAGTTAATAATCAGTCGGTCTATGTGAACAAAAATGAGATTGTTCAATCATTCCAATATTCCAATATTCTAATATTCCAATTCCATATCGAAACCACTGAACCACTCCGGATAAACCACAATTGAGTTTGTCACACCTATATCAGCTTAAATTTTTTCTGAATATTACCTACTAACATAGTGTCATATAGCATCTAGGATCTTACTCAAAGTCGTTCTGTAGTTGAATATTAGCCATTCCGTTTTAAACTTTACAGTAATCGCTGAAAATATCTGTTTATTCTTGCAAATATTTCAGCGAATTTAACTTGAACAGAATGAGTAGCTACTTTTATAAATTTTGTTAAGCACACAAATTGCCTTAATAATTCTAGTCTGTTTTACTTGCGAACGCTAAGGATTTTATGGCAATTGAACAGTACGATAGTAACCTATGCCAAATTGATTGTACCTGCTGGTAACTTGCAAATCGTTTGGAATCGATCGATTCTCAGCTGCACTCATTTTTAAAAACTGTATCGCAATTAATTGATGAATGACGATGATCATTTGGTTAAGTGATAAATGTTTGTATCCTTCATGTATTTTCTTGTATATCCTTAAATGCAAAAATCAATGATTTGTCGTAACTGCGATGCGTCTGTTAATTATAAGTTTATCATCTCGGCTGTCATCCAAATATCTGGGTCATTCGCTCTTGTAAATTAGCGATTGACTTCAGACGCTTTAGCTTAATCCTAGATGTCGACATCCGAGTTTCAACACCCTTGGCTTCGAGGATGATTGGATTTATAATCTGTGATTTTTAAACAAGGCCACTGTCCATCTGTGCTGACCTGAACCTTAACACTGTTTAGAGATAGTTCCCAGTGTATAATCCTGTATCTATGTTTTCCAACAGTTCATGTTGAAGATTATGGCTGCTTTCCGGCGCTTTTAATCTTGTTAGAAGTTGTATTAAAAGTTTCTTGTCAAGGTTGCTGCTGATGTTCGACGTTGTGCTCGTTATTACTGGATTTTGCCGAATTTCGATGTGAATTTGCCGTCGTTGATTGTTCTAATTCGCGAACGTGTAAACGTAAGTTTATGATTCTTTGTGATGGGTGAAGCCATTGCGGCACCGTTCCAAGTAACAGTTTACATATCGAATATTCTTTACATTTCGCCCTGAAACTTCGGTTGTATCTGTAATCGGAATTTATTGCGAAAGGCGGAGGTGATTAATGGCCTCATTTTACAGCTACCTTCGTTGTTCATCGTCCAACATTGGAGATACCCAATTTTATCGCGTAGGGTGAATGGGCAGGTTTCACCCTTCGTTTTTTGTTTAGTACGTACTGAAAGGACGGTCTCTCTCGAGACTTCCACGATATGCCCTGAGGTGAATGACATTGTGTCCGGAGGGTCAAACTTTCGGACAGAACTGGATCTTGAAACTTGTACTCTTTTTGAAACTTCCGTGAGACAGAGTAAGTCTCCTTCGCAATTAAGGGCTTGTTACTGAATATTGCACTTTTCTGAAAGCTCGACATGACTAAGCCTTATGAAATGACGACGAGGAAAGGTTACTGTGATGAGTCATGATTGCGCCGTTTCACTCTTCCATTGTTATCAGTAGCGAAATTTTCAGCGCTGTTAAATTTCTCTTGCTCTTCTGAAGCGAATCATACCGAAAGCGAGAAAAAACGCGTCTTTCTGCGACCAGTCTGAAATCTGCACACATGAGTCGGTACATCGATATCATTCGTACCTTGAACTGCGATCTGAGGTTTGATTCCAAGAATAAAAATTGTTTTAGGGGTAATATCCTCAAGTCAGATGCTCTCCTTGTCATTTTTAGACTAGATCGTTAAGAAGTACTCGAGGTTGGATGCAGTAAAGCACAAGACACCAGATGCGAATGCATTTTCGACTCTGATAGCAAAGGCATTGCGGCCTTTTGGCCTCCTGTGAAGACATTGAACCAATTATGACTGAAACTCGTCTTGATTTATGATTGAAATAAGGGGTTATGATGTGAGG